TTCCGGAAGGAATCTCAGTATTTCTGTGAAATAGAGCCCCGGTAGCAAGACTGTCGCAGATAAATCCAAGGCAGCCGGGGTTCTGAAGCAGGTTCCCCATCTCCACCGGCTCTTGGTTCCGGCACACCCATGCCTAACACTCGCTGAAGCAAGGGGAAATGACAGACCCGGCAAGATGATAACTTCACCGAGTTGTTGGATGGCGGGGGACGCCAGCAGGGGAGTCGTGCGCTGAGGGTCAAGAATTTGAGGGCAGCGGCAGGAAGAGAGAGTACAATATGTATAACGACTGGAACGCCGGGTGCTCGAGTTGACAGTGGCTCGACAACAGCAACTGCACCTGTCCATTGGAGGGCAAGGGCCAGTCGACAGGACAACATCTCGACCGATGAGAGCGTATAACGTGTTAGGTCTTTGGCGGTCATGATGCAAATATTCGTGAGGGGAACTCCACGGGAACTCAAAGCGGTAATTGCTCCCTTTTGGAATAGCCACACACGTTCACGTGACTGTTAGGTGATGGCGCAAGTCAGGGTAACTTACAAACTGGCCTTCAGCTGAGTTTCATTTGATGCATATATTGACCTACCCCATCTCGGGCTCTAGTTACATCTTTAAGTACGAGTTACTTCATAAGCACTATACTTTTTATGAACAAAAAGAAGAAATGATTCCATAAACCTTCAAAGAAAGAAAGAAAATAAGAGCACAAAATTACCAGCCAGATGGACATGGATGTGTACGCCCCAATCCATATTAGGTACTAAACCACCAGTTTACAGCGCCCCCACCTCCCCTTAAAGCAGCAATTTCCACGTCAAGCCTCAGTCGGCCCTTGGTCCCAAAGTCGAACCAACTTCTTGTCTTCTGCATCTGTCTTGATAGCGTAGATTTCTACACTATATAGACCGTTCCTGCAGTCAGACTCCTCCTATGGAAGGAAAGTAATGGGAGTTGGACTAATAAAGAAGAATCAAAAGTTCCAATAGTCATCTGAAGTACAGTCCATGTTTAAACAGCTTAAACAAGCCTTCTGTTCAGCTCCTATCCTAGCCTGCTTCAATCTTTACCCACCATATTGAATTATCAATGCGCGCCTCTTATCCGCAAGATCATACCCTAAGAGCTAAGCAAATAAAATTATATAAGAAGCTTATGACTAGATGAGAGGGGTGGCCTGGATATAATTGGTGGTTCTTGAACTAGGAGTATATTACTATTGCTGCTGAAGGAGAGCCTGGAAAGCCACCTGTGATTTGCCAATGTTGTATTGCAGGACGTTGATTGGATAGCATCTTGCATTGGCGTTGTGTTGTGTACTATTCATGCTTCGGTTTTCATGGCTGCAGAAGCGGCGCTAGCTGGACGAGGTGGGTTGTGTGCCTTCCAGGTGGGGCAGTTCTTGTCAAAGGAGTAACGGTCACTAGTGGTGTTGCAGAGGCTGCAGACGAGAACGGTGTGGTAGTAGGGCTACCAAGCACTGGCTCAATGATGAAACCCGCCCAGTCTCAGGCCCGCTGACACGGCTGATTATGAATCTAACGCAGAAGTTTCGACTACTATACGTCGAGATAAAATAGACAGCATCTATTTACTATGCAAGTGTCAGTCTGCAATATGCTTCCGCGGGGCTTTCATGAAATATACTAGTTTATCATGTAACTGTAATTGTACTTGAAATTAGGAACCTGAGGTATATTGATCCGCTAAAGGTGTACTCCGAGGGCACCGGAGCCCCAGTGCGATAGGGGACGGAAGCTGAGGCCACTCCTATATAGCTACAGCTAGTAGACGTTTTACAAGAGGACTTTCTGGATAGTGTAGGAAGGAAATGAGCGGTGCGTAGGCCTGCGTTAACTCTATATGGCATGGAAGAATTAGTCCACATCGCACGAACTTCGGGAGTTTTGCACGCCGTCAAAGTAGACCTGAAGAAGGACAAGAACATAGTCCAGCAATTATTGTGGGGTATCCCATACTTGCCACTGGTTCTAAGCCCTACATAGTTCGCCGCTACCTAGCCAATGGTTTGCCTGCTCGGATTGGACTCGGCCCCATGCTCCAAGCCTAAGCATTGTACTCTCGTACCCGTTCCCATATGTATGCAAACACTGGGTATTATGACAAAGCCCGGTGTCAAACACACAGGCTCAATTATCAAGACCAGTCCCCAAATTATTTATCCCATTTCATCACTTCACACAGGAGCACTATATGACATCTACCGAGAGTTTCTCTTTGCTGAATATCTATTTTAATGTTGCAATTGCTTACTTACATACTCGCGTAGGCAGCTTTTGTGCATGTTTGTTTGCTACTGAGGGAACTGAGGGACTATTGTTGTTTATACGTTATGTAGCTATGTATACCGGTATATGTGGTTCCTAGTGCTTCAATGATAATAGATTTTAGTAGCTATATACCAATACCATGCGACGTGCTTGATTTACCATGAGGTGGCATGTGATAAGGCCGGGTGTTCATGACGTGCGCATCTACGAGGCTCCGGGTCAGTAGACAATATATGTAGGTCGACATGTCCATGTAGCGATGTCAATATAGAACCTGTAGGTAATCATAATGTCAAGGGACTGAGTTCGGTTCAGAAGAGTTGAGTGGCCATGGTATTATAGCGCTAACTACCTACGACTGGGAGTCTGCGTAATACGTATACTTATAGGTATGTGACAACGTAGTGCAGTGAGGACGGCGCGTGTGTGGTAGAAAGTGTACAGGCTCAACTGAATCGCATGGATTGCATGCTGGTAACTACTCTCAACTTGGAAAGACTAGTAATACTTCGCCTACGCGTCGGCCCAGTGCCGTAGTTGAGAGGCCCGAGGACTGTTGTGGATGAACTTGTAGAAGAGACTGTACTGGTAGGTATGTATGCTTCGGAGAGGCTCTGGGTGATACGGTATAATGTTACCAGAGCTTGTGGATGGTTGTTGAAGGTATTTGTGTCGGGCCGGCAGCTGCAGTCTAGCTAGCAGCCTACATTTGTGGATAATAAATCCCATACTACGGTACTGATTATTTGATGTGGCTGTGCTTGCTGTTCTATTGTACTGTTAAAGGTGGAGGTGGGTGGGTTGTTCCCACGCTAGCCCTCTGACAACTTAAACCCCCCCCGGCTTGGCACCGTAGAGGAAACGGCGGATTGTAGGATCTGATATGGAAGGATAAAGATAAGGAAAGTTAAAGTTTTCTTAGATGAGTGTACCTAATCAGATTCTGTGATTGAGAAATCTTCCAAATCCAGACCGTCAATAACGTAGCCAGACTATCAAATAACCCTAGTCTAGTTGCATGACCCCTCCGTAGGAGGTAATAACCCTTAGTCTGATTGCACGAATAATCCTAGCCTGGGGCCAATAACTCAAGTCTGGTGGGCTCCAGCACCCCTAGTCTTGAGGTGCAACCATACAACAGTAGCCCTCCTCTACTAGGGCCAGACTAAGAAAGCCTATATTCACACTTAAGTACAAGTACTTACCTAAGTATTTACCGTGCCCCCAGTGCATACCAGACCAATTTACCCCTTCGTTGGCTTTGGTGCAACAAAGTCAATGGCGGGTTCTAAAATCTGATATGTGTAGCTAAGGTGGCCTAGTTGGAGATAAGGCTGCTTACCTGAGTGTAACCTACCCTAATCAGATTGTGTAATTGAGATCTTCATACCCCTCCGTGCTTTGCACCGCAAAGCCACTGGCGGGGTTTTAGGATCTGATACTGTGTATGCAGCAGACATAAATTTCTGTATGCAGGATTGCAACGCGTTCACACGAATTACCCTGAAGTCATTCTCACTCCCGAAAATGTTCCTCTTGCAAGTTACCCTTAACATTCCACTCAATTTCTAATCTTCATAGCGAGCCGCCATATGCGTCAAGTCTAAGTCCTAGAAGCCTATCATACATAAAATCTAAAGTCAGGTATATTTAAGAACAACAATTTTATAACCCTTACATCAAGTTTCTGTGGGTAAAAGCCAGCTATGCTGCCATCAAATGAAAAACACTCTAATCTCTAGTATTTATTTATATCTCACCAACCCTTATATATCTACCAGCTTTTCAAGGAAATCCAACCTCGTTCCTGGAAGCTACAGTAGATCTAGTTCACTTCCCCCCCCTCTTCAAATGCACATTAAAAATAATCAGGTGAACTATTTGATTATCTACGACTTTTTTCGTTCTCTTTTTCCTTTTCCTCTTTCTTTGAGTCCTTCTTTTTCTCTTTTTATTTGGTTCCTGATCAACGAATGTACCTACTTAAGCATGACGCATCTGTCACAGTCTAATTAGTCAACTTGAAATAACTTGTTTCTGGTTGCTATGTACATCGTCAGCTAGTAATACCTCCCTGCATCACGTATTACTAGACGCAGCCTAACTGAGATTTGGACATTAAGAGAGTGTGGCAGAAAGGTCATCGCACAATGTTTACGAGTATGGAAAACGTTGACGGCCTGGGTCAAGGCGTTTATAGTGAGTCCTGCGAACTGCGCTGTTACAATTTCGTGGCGACCCTCTCCAAAATATACTATCACTGCCGTCTATATATACGTAAAAGGAAATTCCATGCATGCTTGTGTATGAAGTATGCAATATTTAAGATAATGCCCACTTAGAAATCTTAGTTTCTCCTGCATGCAGCTTTTTGGGAAAAACAAAGAGTATTGCCCCGACTTGGAAGTAAGCTCAGTTTCTATACAGTGAAATATTTAGATTTGCATTCTCGACATAACTACATAACCTCGCACTAAGCTAGGGGGATGGTCCAGAAGAAACACGGCGCTGAGGAATTCCCTGGCACCAAATGAAAAAAATAAACGAAATATAATTCAATCTCCGGGTTCGAACCTCCAGCGTTCCGCAGGCAGCTCCGAACGTGGCATTTACTGCATTTGCTTGCATAACACTTTATATCTTGTACAAAATTAACTAGGTAGCATCAGAAGCAAAGAAAACCCGGAGAATCTAACAATGCAAAGGATTTACCAACGCGAGGACTTGAACCTCAATCTCCCACGATCTTTGTGGCGTAGGGGCCCGCAGGTCTTTCTGTTATGGGGGAGTGGGCGTGCTACTAATTGCACCACGCCGGCGGGTTATATTCCATGTTTAAGCGAAAGACTATTTGAAGCCACAGTGATTTTAATTTAAATTCTCAATATCTGAGCTAACATTTGAAAAATTTGAGCTTGCATCTTCTACATAGGGATCTTGTAACGTGGTTCCAATGCGAGTCACTAATTTCTGTCGTGTCTTGCGCGTCTGTGCTACTCTTTGCATCAGGATTATCCGGCGAAACCGCCCACATAATTGATATTAACTGTACGGGTTGCAGGTTTGTAAATCAGAAATTTCAGGTTGTATAGATTCGAGTTTATCTGGTGTTGTGAAAACCATCCCATTACCCACCATTCTAGCACCCCGCATCGATTTGACCCCAAGGGTTCATGGTAGGGTATTTCAGTAAAGGCTGCAGTAGATTCAAGTTCATGTTAGCTTGATAGCCTATTAATTCACAATCATAATATCCTCAGGACACACCTCTCAAAGATCTCCGTAAATCAAACGCCCACTGACATTCGAAATCTGATCATCAGATTCACTATTACCCCAAAATCCAAATTCCCATGGGTTCTTCAAATCCCCAACGAGGAATGTGCCATCAAGACGGAAGTTCTCGCCACTGTGGCTGTAGCCAGTAATACCCGGAAGTGCCCGTCATCATTCCCGAGACAATTGTTCAGATCGATTTCGGAGTGGAGTTGTTGAACGATGCGGGAGGTGAGGAGGCTTTGGGTATGTGCCCGTTGTGGAGCTCGATGTTGTGACTTGTGTGGGAGAAGTTGGGCATAGTTGCCGTAATGAGTAGGTGAAGTACTAATTCTCGCGCGCGCGTGTGTGTGTGTATATGTTATATAGAGGGGTAATAGAGTGTCGTGGTGGGGAATGTGGACACGATCCTTATGCCCTCGGCTATGGTTCGGATTGAAGTCGGGCAGAAGTAGAATTCTCAGCATTCCCTTTTATATCCCTTTATATCCTTTTATTTATAATGGTTGTCCCAAGTCGGGTCTTATTTTGGCCCTCATTGTCTTGTTTCTGCACGTGTCACGGCGGAGTAGCCTACTCAGAAAAGACTTTCGCATGCTCGGAGTAAGCATAACCTGGGCTAGCTCGTATCCCGATTTGGTACATAATAACGATAGACTACTGCGGAACATGTGGCATACAGACCAGAGTTTATTGGGTAGTCCGTTGTTTTTTGATGAGCTGCAAGCTGCATGCACGGCAATCATTTATCGTGGTACCGAATATCTAGGTCTGATTACCGGCCTTTATGGTGAATTAGACTCCTGTCTTTACAGCGAAAACCACAAATCGCTCTGAAAAGAAAGGGGAGACTGTCTAATTCAGAGCCGGTAAATTGTTTTGGGGCCGAGTACGTCACCTTGAGGCCCGGTCAATAAGTTATAAGTAAAACCAGTGTTTTGTGCGCGATTTTGCATCATGGTCTGTATAGAGCTACGCGTATATATACATACAAATCTATATACTGGCTGCAGCTGGCTGGGTTCCAGAGGGTGGGAATATGCCAGACTAACTCGCAATGACGGAATTGTATCGAGAATCCCTCCAACGTGGGAGCGGGGATTTGTTCAATCGGTTGCAAAGTACTACGTGATCTGCAACATGGAGCCGCGTTCTTTTGCATACGATCTGTCCAGTAAAAAAGAACCAACGATTTCATTAATTTTGGATCTTCTAACTAAAGGTGTGTTACCTAAGCATTCCTACATGCTATGAAATATGTATGTAGATCTTGTATTATTCAACGGACAAGGGTGAGCCCGCAACGAGTCGTTTCTGAATAGGCTGATGTACGTGAGCGAGCATAAGTGTTTGTGCATGAGACTACTAGTAGCATTAGTTTTAGCGTAACAAGTATGAAAATACTGGATGGAAGCTGGATGACAGGAAGAAATGGTCCCTGAACTGCACTAAATGTGTTGCTCATAGCACGTAGAACCCCTCTACTGGTAACTTGTATAAGAAGGTATATAAGGGCTGAGAATCGGCGCTGGTGATGGCCTTTTTGTGAATTTATCAGAAAATACGGCGTTATACTAATTGAACCACCTTGTGGTAGCATTTTATTGTTGTCAAATAGAGATTATGTCTGTAAGCTGCATATAATGGATGTGACTAGAACTATATTAATCATGCACACATGCATTGAAGTTTAAGGAATACCTACTTATTCTAAGAAGAAAACCCAGCTTGTAATAAGAGAGAGGTATCAATTACATTATATATGACCCGTTCACCAACAGAAATATAAGCATCTATTCAATACTCCTTGCCTTACATATACTTCTGGAAGGAGTACCAAATTGTAACGCGCTAGCCCAATCTGGTAATTAAATTGCGGTACTAGCCAGGATAGGCAGCCTTCTCGATTAAACATACCATACACATGTACAGGCTAATCAGGATGTTGTCTCTATCTAAAGTAAGAATGTATGTAATTAATACAGCAGATATAAAAATATTACCCTCACCGCTGGAGCATATAATAGGTACCGGGAGGGAAGATATCTATGAGAGCAAGCCTGCAACTGATAATAGCCGAACTGACCTTACTGTCCTTTTTTTAAAAAATAATCCCATTATTCCCTTAGGAGTCGTATACGAGCCACTCGCGTACTAGTTTAGCTAAGCGAATAGTCACCTGGGTGTGGCTACCAGAATCCCGGGTGGATTCAAGCGCAAATCATCTACAGGCATTAAGAAGGAGATTCGTGGAACAATAGCACCTCCTTCCTCCGGTTCTCCCCTTCCCTAGCTGTTTCCTCTGCCCCGCTTCATCTTTCCTCTCTTCTTCCCAAAGGATCCGGCGGAGGTAGCGTTCCAATGGTCTTCCTCTCCCTTTTCTTTCTTTTTTTTTGTAAATCATTGCTCGCATTGAAGCATCTCGCTTATGGCGAGGCAGCGCATCTCCTCAGGTTAAGCCTGACAAGATTATCCCACCCCCGGGCCGCTCCCTGCCCCGCTCCTTTTCTTTCTTCTGTCCCCATGTGTTGGCCAGGCCTATGAAGCCCCTCCGTTGTCGGTGGTGCACTGCCGTAGACAGTCGAAGATGACGTGGTGGCCGTAGTGTCGGCATTTGGGGCCCTAAGGGCCTTACCGTCGATTCAGGAACTTGATTCGGGATGCTATAATAGTACTTTGACCGTGGGGCTGACTTGGGAGGGCCGCGGAGCTTTGTCGATCTGGGCAAGCGTTTATAGAAGGTATTGCTAGCGGTTGGGCAGTCGCATTTCCGCTTAGCGTGGAGTCCAGGAGTTGCAGTTTCTGGAGCTCTCAGTCCTGAAGTGCATTAGGTGGCTTTGGGCTCCTCTCTGGTTATCTATATGAGATCAGTGGAGGATGTAGGTAGACTACGTATGGGAAGGAAGTTTTTCCGTTCCACAAGATATGATTGGAACCGTCCGACTAGCAGTGGAAGAAGGGACGAGAAAGGGAAACAATGAGCCGCATTCAACCACTAGTACAGACACATCAGAGACCTGTAGGCGATGCGAAGGAGAAAATGAGAGATGTCCCATCTGTGGGGGGTTATGGGCGGGTGCATATGCTAGATGTTTTCCCATGATCTTATTTCTACCTGCGAACATTATTCCTACCTGCGAGAGGGTTTTGAGACATTTGTGTGGAGTTGTTTTTCCGCGGGACCATAGGGTCCATTTCTCTCTCTCTGCTGATCGTGCAGATTAACTTGTACATACTTTGAAACCACCAGGGCTTCCGGAGTGGCTCGTCATACAACCCTTAAGGTTGTGCATACGAGTACTGAGTTCAAAAAAAAAAAAAAGTGGCTTTGGGCTGTACTGTGATTGTACCTTACCTGCCCCTTAATCAGATTATGATTTCGCTTGGTGAGTACTAATTACAATCTGTGCTATATCAGTTGAACAGACTGTCAGCACGGTCATGTCATCAACAGACAGTGTCAACGTGTAATACACGATGTGTTGCCAAGAAATGATTATATCCCGTGTCGAGCCGTCAATTCTCATGGAACAGATTAAGAGTATGTTAAACATGGTCATAATGTGCGCGGCCATGCCATCAACCATGGCCCTCATTCCCAACGCGTAAATACCTGGCCATGCCTAACTCGCTTTATGACGGCCTCAACCTACATACAAAATATCAATTTTAATATCGACGCATAAGCCCTTCGGGGACAGGAATCCACTTGATAGAACATTAGAGCGTAATTGCTACGACTTCAATCAATAACAAGGATGGCTTCTCCTTCGGTTCAGGTTCGTGAGCATCTCACCCGTCAACTTTACCAAAGGCTTGAACAACATGGCGGTCTTATATTCACCCACGAATCAACTGGGAAGCCAATACACCCACGCGGCATTGACGTCCAAAGAGAGGTAATAGATAGGTGGGTAGCAGAGAGAGCACAGGCACTAACTAGTGAGTTGGTCACAGACTTAAGACAAGTGAACGGTCTCACAGTTGGGATGTGGAAGAGAAAACTCGGGGAAGCGGTGGAAATCGCCTTGGTATCATGGTGGTATAAAGGGGGTGCTACAGGGTGGGTTTACTATGAAGGGAACTCGGATGCTTATTACTACTACTAGATCTAGAGTAGGTTAGGGCCGAGAATACATATATAGTTTGTACACAGCCATGGAGAGCCATGCGTCCGGCATTCGGTAATCTCAATTAGCTCCATTCATTGATATTGAAAGGAAACAATTTGTGAGGTGCGAGATTGATTACACCTACATAGTAGAAACAGAGCAGAGACTAAGGATATATGTAACTGCTTGTTAAATTTCTGTACTTTTCTTTGCCACTGGGTTATAAATCTACAGCACAGTTTTAATCTTGAGCCTTTGCAATTGACATTCAAGTAGTAACTAATTCTACAATAGTTATATAACTAGACGAATTCCAAAAATGAGTAATTGACTTATAACTAGCCATCGTTAGCAAAGTTAAGAATAATCAAAGCTAAGCGCCAGTTTAAATGACATTTGATTCCACTAAGTATACTAGTATGTCATTGAAT